CATAGAGTTGTTTCTATTCTGTTCCAGGTTTACAAAATCAGTCTTTCCTATAGAAGAAACATAATGAAGTTTAAGCTTTTAGGAATATTTTCAGTTATGAATTGTTTTACAGTTGATCTTACCCGGCTGTCACCCCTTCTTTCTTTGTTTTGAAAATTTGCTTTTTGACCTACAAGCGGTAATGCTTTCCCCATATTCTGTGTTGTTAGCCCCTGGAGGCTAGGTGAGTAAGTGAAGACAAATACAGTGATTTCAGGTTGCCCCTGTGTGATCCTTGGTCCTTTCTATAAGGAAAGTATTTACTCCCCAGTATGGAATTTTGGGGCCCTCATTTTGAAAAATTTCACGTTTCCACGCTATCGATGCGTGGCACCTAGCATCTTCCAAGTTATTTCCTAGGTCCTTTTCTGATGACTAAGGCCGCTAGCCTCCTCCGCGATCCCCTCTGACTTCTGTGCTCTGAAATTGCTGTTTTTGAAACTGCCTTTTTTGGAGGAGGTTATTATTACTCTTATAATTTGCATCATAAATATCCCTTGGTCATTGGCCTGTAGAGCTCTTGGGAGGTGGTGGAAGCTCAAGGATTTGGGGTCTAGGGGAGGAGGTCAGATCATTGGGATGTGTCTTTTAAGGGGCCATTGGCACTGTGGTGTCTCCTTTCGTTTTTCTCTTCCTGGATGCCATGAGGCGAGCTATTTCCGCCACCATTTGTCCCCCGCTGTGACGTACTATGCTGCCACAGGTCCAAAGCAAACAGAGCCAGCTACCATGGGCTGAAACCTCCAGCACCATGAGCCAAAGTAGATCTTCTCTCCTTTCAGTCGTTGAGGTATTTTGTCACAGCAACAGAAAGCTCTCGCGTGCCCTTCGCCCTCTCTGAACACATTCCTCACCCAGGGGACCCCACCAGGGCCCCAGAGATCTGTGCAGCCCGGCACCCGTTCACACACCACGTCCTGTGATGCTGATGTGTTTACAGCTCTTGGAAATTCTCTCACCCAGGATTAACACGGGACACCCGCCACCCCTTTCATTGATGAGGAAGTCCTGGAATTCCTTCTCAGCTGTCTCTCAAGCTTTAGCCCTGCTCTGGAATGTTCCCATTTCTGTGCAGTGCCCCCTTTGTCATGATTGTTTCGCTGATGCTCCTATCTCTTCAAACTTCTTCCTATGCCCAGACTCTGGAAGTGACCCTGGCTTGTACTTCAGGGAAAGAAATAACCACCCAGTAGCAACTCCCTCAGCTTTTCCCACCAAGTCTGCAAACCCACTGGTATTGGCACCTGTTAGAAGCGAAGGGATGGACTTTACACCTGTGACAGGGCTGGTCTTTCTGCGTGATCAGCGTGGCATCTCTTCCATGTAGAGACTGTGACTCCTTTTTCCTGGACTTTCACCTGGGCATTTAGACATGCCATCATACCTGAAGTACTGGTATGCATCTTAGAAACGAAACGAAGAACCAGAGAGAAGCAAGCCTTCCCCTTACCTTGTGTGCCCTTTCAGTAGTCCTCTTGTGCACCGTCCTCCCTGGTTGCCCTTTGAAAGAAGGGCTGTTGCCCTGCATGGTTCTCATCTTTCAGTTATAAATCAGTTCCAGGCTGGTGGCTTTTCCCCTGCCTTGCCATGGATGTTGCTAAGGTCTCATCCTTCTTCGACTTTTCTAAGTGTTGCACAGCTAAACCCTTTTCTCCGATCATCTAGCACCCCGGTAACTTCTTCCTAGTTTCTGTGGCCATATTTTTTCATTATGTTCCTTGGTGCTTGGTCTGGGACACGTTTTATTTTCTATCCTGCCTGTCTACTTCTGTGACTTCAAATGACATCTGCTTGTTGATGACTGGCAAGTTTATATCTCTGATCTGAACTTCTGTCCTAGGCGGTGGACCACTGTCTACTCATTTTAGTCTTTTGGATGTTTCTTACAATCTCACATTTGACCTGAGCCTGTGGTGTGTTCTTTCAGCTGCTTTTCTTTAGACATTACTCTTCCAATAAACAGTATTTGTGGTACCTCGGTTCACAAACTTAATTCTTTGCATGATTCTGGTTGCAAACCAAATTGGGTGAGAACCAGTCAAATTCAATGGTTAGGTTCCATGTTGACCTTCTGGGGAAATTCAATTTGACTCTCATCCAGTTTCAGTTGAGACCAGCACTAGGGAGAGAATTAAACTTGTGTGTGAACTGCTGTGACAGTATCCTTTTTTATTTTTGGAGGCAGGGTCTCACTGTGTAGTTGAGACTGACCTGGAACTCACTATGTAGCCCAGGCTGGTCTCAAACTCACAGTGATCCTCCTGCCTCAGCCTCCTGAGTGCTGGGATTACAGGCATGCGCCACCATGCCTGGCCTTTGACAATATAAATTTAAGATTTCTTTTGGCTCACGTTTCAGAAATTTAGTCTCTGTTTAGTTAGCTCTGTTGCTTCTGGAGAAGAAAAGTTGTTTACCTCATAGGGGCCAGGAAGAAAAAAGACACGAAGGGGTCAGAGTCTCAGTGTCCCTTTCAGGAGCATGACCCAAGTGCCCGTGACTGACTTCTTTGCCCCAGGCTCTGCCTCCTGAAGGTTCCACCAGATCTCAGCAATGGCATATGCTGGTGATCAGGCCTTTTGCATATGGGCCTTGGTGGTCTGGTGGGATGGAACTGAAGATCCAAACCACAGCAGTGTTCTAACATAGTCAGTTGTTCACAAAGAAATCTGGTAGCACCTCCAGAGATCTCCACCCTTTCCATATCCAGTCCATTACGCATTGCGTGGACCCCACCTGCAAGAGAGTTATTATTCCATATCTGTCACTCTTTCTGTTGCTACTTTCACCTAAGCCACCACCATCTCCTACCTTTACCACTCTGGAGGTCTCCTAACGAGAATTTCTTCTGCATGTTTTTTTGTACTTTAACATCTTTTCTCAGAGCAGATAATAGTAATCTATAAAAGATCTAACTACCCTTGTGTCAATTTCCTGCTTAAGACACTGAGGTGACTTTGCAGCGAACCCAAAATAAAATGTTAGCCCTTTCTTTGGGCCTGCAGAGCTCAGCATGTCTTGGTCTTCCTCCACCATGTGTCCTTTTCTGTTAATTTCATGGTTTTCCATGCCCAGAAATGCTGGCATTTGACCTTTGCAAAAATCCGTAAACTGTAAACTCCTTCACATCCGTAATCCTTTGCCTTTCTGGTTTTGGTTTGGAAATGGTTTCTTTGCACTCTACATTTCTTGTCATCTTTCAGCCCTTGGCCTCCCTCCTTTGAAGCTCAAAATGAGTGCATTTCTGCTCACACTTCCTCTGACGAAGCCTTTGGTGTAGCCTCACTTTTACTCACTGGAACTTGTAGTTACATGTCTTACGTTTTCATGGGTCTCCGCGAGACAGTAAATTCTGTGAGGGCAGGAATTATCCTTGTTTTCTTCATTCCTGTTTCCTGTCATGTGGTACTTGTCTCCTCGGGTTGTTTATTACGAGGGCTGGTGGAAGTGGGGCCGTACCCCTCTGGTACTTCTGTTGCAGTGCTGTATGGTGCTTAAGCTTGGGCTCAGACTTGCATGACTTTGAATTTTCATTTTGTGACTTTGAGCCATTAGTATCCCAGTACCGCAGCATATGGTGCTGAGTGAACCAGAAAGTGTATGAGCAGGAGTTTTATTCAGTAAGAACAATAAGCAGGCTCGTTTCAGATGGAGAAGCTTCCGAAATAACAGCAGTATTGTACTCATGTCACTGTGCTTGATTTATGAGCCTGGGTGTTAAGTTGGAGCACCTCTGAAGATGGCTTTGCTACGGCCACTTGTTGGCCTTACTGTTTCCTGTGGGTCTCTGTTGCCCCAACTCTGTTATACCTGCTGAACACATTTTCTGAGAGTGGAACCCAGGAGCTGGTCTGGGACAGAAAGACCAAACTCTGGGTGTCCTGACTGTGGGCACGTTGACTTACGTTGCGTGTTCCTTGCCTGTAGTGGGAGTGGTCTCTTTGGAAGAAACCCTTACGGAAGGAAACACTGATAAAGAGGTGTGGAGTAAATTCAGAATCCTTTCCTGTGGGCTGGGGATGTAGCTCAGCGGTGAACTGAACTTGTGGAAGCTCTGGGTCCAATCTCCAGTGTGCTCCTGTGCGGGGGACTCTGTTTTTTGTGTCATTTAAAGTTTGGGCTTTGTTTTTAGCGGAGTGATTGTAAAAAGGTGCATGCATAGTCTTGGGTCATGTTTTGAGGTGTCACCTTCCTCCAGTTTGGGATATTTCCAGTCTCTTGGAAGTGGAGACAAAAAACAAAACAAAACAAAACAAAACGCCCCTACTCTGCCACATATTGTTCTGAGCACATTCTTTGTTGGTAAATGTTCCCCTTTATTTGCATTTCAGTATCTCGTGCCTTAGACGGAGAAGCCCCAAGTCCTTCAGCACAAGGGGCGAACGTGACTGGTTGGGGTTTGCATGAGGCTCCTTTCTTGTCCACCGCCCCAATGGGATGTTTGCCAGCCCACCCTGCCGAGCCTGCAGGGCCCCTCGTGCCTTAAATTTTTACAGCAAATTTCCAGCAATGAAGGGCAGGCTGGTTGTATCGAAAAGGGCAGCCATAGTCCTAGCCCTTTGCTTACTTTAGTCTGATTCCCAATGAAGGAATTCATTTGAATTTTAAATTTCCGAGGAGTAGGACAAAACAGATGTCAGGCCCAGAAGTGTTCTGTTAATGACTGGGATAGACCCTTCCTTGTTCAAAGTCAGCCCTGTCTCTGTTGCACTGAAGAGCCCGGCACTGAGTTACGTTTCCTTGGCCGGTTGCCCGATGCCCTCTTCCTCAAAAATATTTATGGAGTTCTGGTGTTTTAGTAACTGGAAAGTGATTTAATTGTTGCATTGGCAGGGTGAGAGAAGGCAGTTAAATGTGTTGTTCATTTTATTTCTGGGTGGGGTGCAGGAGGGAAATGTGATACGATTTTTTTCCTTTTTGGAAAACCTAATGCTGTGTTCTCTTGTTATCGTTTTGTTCTCTAGGCATTAAGTGTAACCGAAACCCTGATTAAGCCCTTGGAAAAATTCAGAAAAGAGCAACTTGGAGCTGTAAAGGTTTGTGTCTAATTTGAGTACACTCGTAAACAGAGAATGTCGGTGCTGGTTCATTGTCTGCTTTATTTGCATTTGGCAGCTTCGAGAGAGAGACACGCTGTAGTAAGCCATCTGCTGCTTTATGTTTTGAATGTGCTTTTTCCCCTTTGGGGAGATGAAATTGAAAACAAAACAAAAACACCTGGACAGAGTGGTAAAAGCTCCAGTCATCTTGTTTGGCTACACTTCCACACAGCGTTTAGGAAACATCTCTAACCAGACAGCCCATTTACTCTGAATGGAAGGATCTTATCATGCTGGGGAGTGCAGTTACTTCTCTGTGTGCCTCTTTTGTATGGAGGAGGGTAGCTGTAAAACAGGCTTTTCAGATGAGAAACCTTGCTCTACCACGATACCATTAAAACTCAGAAGAGAATATTGAGTTACTGCCATGTAATTTCCTTCCATTTACCAAAAATTTATTAAGCTCCCAGTATGGGCCGCTGTTTCTGTAGAACTGTATATTGTATTGTGCTGGGGATTCCTTAGGTGAGTGATCTTGGATATAGCCAGGATTTCCGAGCATAACACAGTGACTTTGCCCCAAGGGGCTAGGGATATATTTAGCCCCTTCTAAGGTTTGTGGTCTGAGCTTGGCAGTTAGCCATGCCAGAGAAGTAATTTCCACCTGGATTTTCTGTGTGTGTGTGAGGAAGAAAAACATAACATTTGTCTGTTGTTGACCTTTTTTGGCTTGGTCTAATGTTAGTCTTAGGTAGGGAAGAGAGTTTTCTCTCATGTAGCTGGGGATGTGAGGATTTAAAAATTTTTTTCCTAAAGAAAAATACTTAAAATCCCTTGGTATAAATCATCATGGTAGCCTCAGTAGCTGGAATTATGACACATGGCCTGCTAACAGCGTAACTTTTCAGTTGTTTACAAACTCCCTTTTCCTCTAAGTGACGTGCTCAACTATGTGTTTGGAGTTTCTGTTTGGCGCAGAATTTTACAGTTTTTAATGAAGGACACTGAATTGAGGTTCAGGCCATGGAGGCCAGAAGCGACCAGCCCCTGGTGCCTGACATTTGCTGACCACATGTGGTTCATTGGCTCCCGGCTGTGCTGCAAATTGGACCTGTGACCACGGGCAGAGAATTGACAGTCAGATGAAGGATTGGGAGAGCTGGCGGTTTCGTAGTTTGGTGATCCTGTTTTCCTCTCACCGTGTCTCCTTAGGCTGTTGAGATGTTTGAATATATTGACTTTTACCATTTCATTGGCAGGCACCAAATGTACACAAGGACCATTTCTTGTTCAATTCGATTATGATGGGAGAGGGCAAAATGGTATTAAGAGGATTAAAAGAAAAAAAAAGTACAGCTGTAAACATGTATACGTATTTAATGTGCTGTTTACCCAAGAGGGTTTTATCCATTTCTGACTGTCCGTGGGCTTTTCCATTGACTCCTCCACGGCCACAAGCCTTCCCAGATTCTGACACAATGCTTGTCCTGCAGAGCCGCTTCAAAATAAGCTGCCCCTTTTGTTTTATTTATTTAATTACTTATTTTCGTGGTACTGGGGATCAAACTCAGGATCTTGCCCTTGCCAGGCAGGCTGTGTGCCACTGAGCTAAATCCCAGCTCTAATCTGACCCTTCAAAAGGCCAAACCATTTGAGAAGTTCAGTCTGTATCTAGAACTGTAGTGACCACATTGTATCCTGAAGCCTTGGGTGTTTTTCCCTTCGTTGGGCTTCTGGCTTCAAGCTGATGAAGATCTCTCCTGCGTCCTTGTTCCCTGAAGTATGTCTTGGCTGGGTGTGCTATCAGCAGCGTATGCCTGGCGATGTTACCTGCTGGGAGCCAGTTCTTACAGTCCCATTATAAATACAAACACTGCCTACCTAAGGTTGATGTCAGTGTCTTCTAGGTGGGCCATGCCAAGGATAGTCAACAAGCTTGTTTTTAACCGACAGTTTGGTTATGTATCGTACTAAACAGAAATGTGGTTGTCTGTTATATAGCCCTGTAGGAGAATCTGTCTTTTCCATTGCACTGTTAAATCTTTGAAAGATTATGCTTTATTTTTTATTTCTATCCCCCTCCACCCTGCCATCCTACAGAAGATATGTAATAAATACGCCTGCTAATAATTGTGTAAGAACCAGGGTAAGGTGTGTAGTTTGAATATTTGATTCATTTGTATGTCTGAGCTTTCTAAACTTTCAGCCTTATTTAGGCAAGTGCACATTATGGTTCCTTTAGTCAGTTTGTTTATATGAGATACTTACAAAACACTGCTCAGCTGGGCATGGTGGGGCACATGTGTAATCTTAGCCTTTGAGGAGGCTGAGGCAGGAGGACCACAAATTTGAGGCCATTCCTGGCAACTTAACCAAGACTTAACCTCAAAATAAAAATAGAAAAGGGCTGAGGGTGTCCCTCAAGGGTACAGCACTGGTCTAGCAGGTGTGAGACCCTGGGTTCATTCTCCAGTAATATAAAAACAAATTAGAGCGATTTGTCCTCTTGAGCTTAAAAAAAAAGAGAATAAAACAGCTTTCCTGTAGGGCAAAAAAAATATCTTTAAAAAGTTTATCATATCAGAATTTTTAGGTATCAGTGTCAACATTTTTGTCTTCTCTCTTCCTTTTCACCCTCTGGTAGTCTTTGCCCTTCGCCCTGAAATTCTCTCGGCTCCAGGGCTCTTGCTTTTCCAGTTCCAGAAGCCCGATTCTGCGTTTGTGTGTGGTCAAGTGTAATCTAAGCTGCTAGGTGGTTTTCGTAAATTGGATTTTTAGAAAGCCCCTGTGTTCGTGCCCTCCCCTCATCCACTGGCTTTGGCCCCTTCTCTCTGGAAGGTGAGTTCTGCTGCGTTTCTCACAGGTTTGCTCTGTGCCCATCTTGTAGACCTTCTGTGCCCATCTTGTAGACCTTCTGGGCTGCGTTGCAGCAGGTTGCTGCTGAGGATTTTCTTCAAGGCTTGCTTCTTACCTCTGTAGCTGAGCTGGGGTCCCCTGTTGTGGCACCACCTGTAGCAGACGTAGGACCTAGACCTGCTTGCTACTTTGTTCTTTCTTTCCCGGGCAAAGGAGGATGAATGACAAAGGCACGCAGCCTCAGATTAACTTGTGGGCAGCCAGGGGGCTCTTGCCTGGAAGGAGTCGCCCCTCTTCTTGCCTTAATTCACCCAGATAGAAGCAGTCAAAGTAAGGAGATGCACCTGCTTGCCATCATCCATTAGTGCCCTCTCTGGTAAACAGCTTAACCTCGGTGGTCCCAACTTTTCCCTGGAACCTGCCACGCACAGTCACCCCGGAGTGTGGACTTCCTCCTCTGTGCTCAGGAGCAGGAAGCCCATTGGGCCTCAGTTCTCCTCTGGTCTCTGGCACCCCTCCCTGGGGAGCTTGTCACCGTATTTCCTATGGATCCCTCTATTTCCCTCTGCCCTTTTATTTCACAACATCCCGTGAGACTTTCTGAGGTTCTTCACCTTTGGTGCTGATGGCGCCACTGGAAATGAGGGATGGGTGCCAGACAACAGGGGAGCCCAGCACATTGAGCAAATCTCCCAGAGATACCGAAGCCTGGCTTAACTGGAGAATTTAAAATTGCTCTTTCAGATACCTGTCCAGTTAGTGCCACGTGGGTTTAGGCAAGCAGCATGCAAGTAATCAAGTAGCTCCAACTATGTTTTTAATACAGAAATATTTACATAATTAAGCATTTTTTTTGTGTGTGTTATTGGGCATTGAACCCCGGGTATCACAAACGCTAGGCAAGTGTTCTTCCACTGAGGTACACTATTGGCCCTTTTTAAAATTTGATTTTGAGACAGGGTTTTGCAAAATTACCCAAGCTGATCTTGAATTTGGAATCTTCTTGCCTCAGCTCCTTGAGTAGTTTAGATTACAGGAGTGCACTTTCATGCCCAGATAACTAAATATACTAACAGTGGTTTATTCAAATGCCAACTGTAATTTCACTCAACAGGATAAAAAGTTAAACAGAAGGGTTGAAAAAATGTTCATTTCAGATAAGATTTTCTCATTTCACCTCCTTAACCCTTTTACCAGATTCTCACCTCTGATTCTCTTCATCGTTCTCTGACATTTGTCTGATGAATACATTTTAATTAGCAGTAATCATGCCTCGGATAAACCTTATTGGCTACGATACTGCCACTGCGCCAAGCTGATGAATACATTTTAAATCATACTTGGCTTGCCAAGATTCTGTAAATGTCTGTCAAATATGAGTAGAAAAAAATGTTTGAATAACTTTCTTAAATTATGTTTGATAAGCAGACACACTGCTTTAATTCTGTTTATTTTAGTAATAAAACACATTATTACCTATCCTGTGGCATAGTGAGAGAGGCCCTGGGCTATACCAGTGACTTAAAACCCTGGCTGGCCTGCAGGATGGCGGTGGCTCTGTGAGAAGCTGTGAGATAAAAATGCAGTAAAAATGCAAGAGGTCATGGGGCTATCATGTCCCCTGCTGTCTGAGCTCCCAACACCAGACAGGCTTCAGCAAGGCTGGCCTCTGCTTCCTGGTTTGAATCCTTTTCCAATGCCTTCATGAGCTGTGTGATTTGGGACGAGATACTTGCAAGGCAGGTGTGGAACCACTGAGCCAAATCCCTGGCCCTGGGACGAGATGCTGAAGACCTCTAGACTTCTGTTTTCTGATCTGCAAAACCAGGCCAGTTGCATCGGCTTTGGAGGTTGTTATGAAAATGGAACGAATCTGGCAACATATCCCAGCATCCCTTTGTCCTTGCATCTATGGCTGGCCACCATCAGCTTGCCCAGAATGGCTCAGGTTTTCGTGTACTCTGTGCACCAGGCTGCAGGGTGACGTGCCAGGACCTGCGGTTCGTGTTCCTTCTTGCCAGAGAGAGCTGAGGGGCTGGGCAGTTGGGATACAGGGGTGAGAGCTCGGGAGGTGGCCACACACTGCTCTGCACCTCTGTGGTCCAAGTCCAGGGAATAAAAGCTTCATTTTCATCTTGTTGGAGAGGCTGGGGGAGCTTAGAGGAAAGGGAGTGGGGTTGCCTAACATCCCACGTAAGCAGCAGAGTGTCGAAGGCGGTGAGGGGGCTTCCTCGCTCGGAGTGGCTTTGACTCCAGCTGTGGGCTGTCCCTGTAGGGACCAGAGGCAGTGGGTAGAGAGGTGGCAGGACTCGAATTAGCTTGGGTTCCACAGTTGTGCTTTCTGGAACACTGCTTGCGTATTAGCACTTGCCGGTGAAGTGTTACCTCGTCATTTAAATAAAAGGGGAGGAGTTGGAGACATTTTTTTTTTTTTTTATGTAGTGGAGATTGAACTCGGGTCCTTGTGATTGCAAGGCATGCGCCTGAACCACTGAGCTAGATCCCCGGCCCGGGAGACTCTTAATTGAGCAGGCCTGGAGGTGCACTCTTGTCCTTTTAGTATTCTGGGAGGCTGAAGCAGGAGAATCACAAGTCTGAGCCCAGCCTAGGCAGTTCAGTGACTTAGACCTTGCTCCAAGCTAAAAAAAAAAAAAAAAATCCCAGAGAAATGGAAACAAAAAGGGGTAGGTATGGAGCTCAGTGCAGAGGCACTCCTGGTTCAGTCCCCAGCACTGTGCAGGAAAAACAAACAAACAAAAAAACAGTTTTACGTTCTTCTCTAGACTAGTCAAACATGAAATAAAATTTTAATGCTATTATAGCTTGAAAATCTTTTCACTTCCTCATCTTAAAAAATTTGTGAAACTCAGAAAAGTCAAAAAGTAGCCTGGTAACTTTAAAAAAAAGCCTTTTCCCTATTTCCAGAACAAACTAAAAACAATCTGTTGCCTGTAGAAAAATAGGCCAGTTAAATTCAGACTTTTGTTGAATGCTTATCCAGTTTGTCTTTTGCAAAAAAAAAAAAAATTTAATAAACAATGATTTGCATGTTAGATTGTTTTCTGACATATTGGTTGCCATTTTAGCCTACTTGTCTTTTTTTATTTTTATAAGTTCTTAGGCCTTCATTTCTTTTTTCTTTAGAAGGCTCTTATTCTAAGATCTGATGAAAACAATGCTTTACTATAGCTTCATTTTTTAACTTGAGACTCATTAAATCCATCTGGAATTAATTTTGATAAGATGTGGGGTTTGCTTTGTGTTTTCTAGTAGTTGAACAGTTATACCAACTCTTGTATGAACAATTACTTAACCCAGTGATTTCTCATGGAATGAATATGTGTGTGTGGATAATGTATAAGTAATATATATGTGAGAGATCTGATTATTTCTGTTCATTCTTTCATGAATGCCCTGTCCCAGATCACCATAGGTTTGATTTGACCAGTTTCACTGTTGTATCTCTTCTGTGATTTTTGTTTGTGCACATGTAGGTTTCTAACTGATTATAAGCTAACTTGTGAGGCCAATTTAACCTGTCAGCGTGGGTTTTGTTTATTTACCTTGTTCATTTATTATGCTCATGCATTTTTTGTCTACCATTTACAAATCAGTAGGTTTTCACCTGTTCATGGGAGACACGGTCTGTGCAGTGGCCTTGATCATCGGTGTTGCAGGCAGTGGCTGGCGGGGCTGTGGCCCCTTTTCTCCAGAGTGGATTATATGGCCGTTACTGCCTGCCTTTCTTTAATACGTTTCTTTTCCAGCCAGCTTTACTCATACTTTTGCCTAACCCAGACTCCCTGAAGTTTGTACAGTCTGTTTAATAGGAAACGTTTTCACATTATAGTTAAAGGAACTTCCTTGGTTGTGCTGGTCAGTTCATATTCTCTTATTATAGTGAGTCCATTGGAAAGAAAGACTTCTTTGTTGCTATCTGCCAACACTCTTTAAAATTCATGTATTTCAGCACAAGAACTCCTATGAGTACAAAGAAACAAAGTAATATCCTATAATCCACACTCAAAACAAACGCATGAAGAAATCATTGCTGGAGTCTTGAGATTCCAAAACAAAGCACAGCAACGCCTGTGTAATACCATAACATGTACCAACAAATGCACTTCTGTGCTGATTGGTGGGTGGCGTGTTACTTCCGGGCTAAATTCTTTCTTGGGGAGAAGCCTGATGTTACCATTTTCTTTCATTCCTGACCTTACCGTCATGTTAATTTATATCCCTTGCTGTCACTGAGGGAGCAGGGTTTTGTCTTCTGGCTTCAGCTTGATCCTCACTGGTCCTTCTCTGAGATTCAGGTGGAAACAGATAAGTGTGTAAAAACACGACCAGTGTGTAGAGATGGGAGCGTTTCTTACCAGATGATTGTGCCTTGAGGCTGTCTCGTACTAAGTGCAGAGGGAGAAGCCTGACTTCATGCCAGGGGAAAGGAACGGATGCTCAGAAAGGACTGTGACCGTCGTGTGAGGTCGCATCTCTGCGTTCCCAGGACTGGCGCCTCAGTCTTGCCATGTAGTCCACACTATCGACTTTTTAAACTCCCGGAAGTTTTGAGGTTCCGAGTGTACATTTGTTTTAGTCTATTCTCTTTTACTAAAAGTTGGTGAATAATATGCTGAACAGCAGAAAAAAATCTGAACTGAAAAAAACAAAACAAAACGTAGGTCATAAAAAAAGTAAAGCATTGTTTCAACAAAAGAGGTTAAAGTACGACTGCCCGTTTCTCAGTTTGTCTCTCACAGATGGACCGTGGGATTATCAAGAATGAGTCAGTGCAGAATAATCCCTTGTCATTTTGATAAGAAAATTTAGGCTCTGTGCTGTCAGATCTCCCCCACCCCCCTTCTGAAGTTGTGCAAGTTGGAAGCTAAACTTAGTGCAGAAGTAGGAAGAAATAGCCATTCCCGTGTGTCTCCTCCATCAGTGTGTGTGTGTGTGTGTGTGTGTGTGTGTGTGTGTGAATTTGAGGTCTTTAGGTGACCTGGCCAGGCATGTACTGTCCTTGGTTCCCAGAATGGTTTGTAGTCCCAAGTGACTACAAGTGGGGGAGATAAATTCAGAGTGTGTGTGTGTGTGTTGTGTGTGTGTGTGTGTGTGTGCGCGCGCAAATTCAAAGCAGTAGAATTCACATTCTCTGTTGATTCTCTGCTTAAAAGGGAAAATTCATACCAGAAAGGGCAAGAGCACTTGACTATCTTTGCTTTAGAAAAAATAATTCAGAAAATAGGGAAGGGAATGTTCCGTCCAGGAGGTGGTGGAGCATTTGAGGTTAAAGGAAACAATTTGACAGCGCTAGGACATAATGTGTTTCCACTGATGCTCAGAAATGTTTATTGAAAACCTACCAAGTCGCCAACAGCTTGAGGGGAGATGGTAGGTCTTCTTCGCTGTATTGAAAAAGGTGGCCAGTTTTTCTCAAAAAGCTTCTATAGCGAAAGAAAAGTAAATAGCAGCTCTCGGCAGTACCTGAGAAAAGCCTGTGACGTTAACCAAAGGAGCTCAGCACTCCTCTGTCAGGTCTTCAGACTCTGCAGACCTGTTGCTGCGTATTCTAAGTTGTGTTACAGAAATCACTGGAGAAATTTGAGAGGGGGTCTGTCGACCTCTGAGATCTAGTGATTAGCGTGATTTTAAAAAGTGAACAGCAGAACTTGCTCAATGTTAGAAGAATTCCTTTTGTAAGCCAAAATCTGGGTCAAGATTGCTTTTATAAGCTTTCTGGTTCTCTTCATGATGTGTTCTTGTGTGTTCTTTCTGAGGGGATGGCCCTGAGAAGTATGAAGACTTGAAAAGTTCACAGGCTTGGGAGAAAACCCATTAGTGGGTAACAAGCAAACGGGGTCTGCAGCCCTGACGCTGACCTGATGATTTTGTAAGCAGTGACCTGGGCTGTCCAGATGGTTTTAAGTGAGCGCCATCACAGTCAGTGATACTTTGTTTTATTCTTAAATATTTTTCATATTTTGGGCTTCACAGTGGATTAAGGATGTGCATGAATTGTTTGTTGTTGTTTAATCACAGTTGTCTTTGTGTTTGATTTGTAGGAAGAAAAGAAGAAGTTCGACAAAGAGACAGAGAAGAATTATAGCCTCATTGATAAACATTTGAATCTATCAGCCAAAAAGAAAGATGCACATTTACAAGAGGTATTTTTCCTGCTACCCCCCACTATGAAAAACAGCACACCTTTTAAAAAAATGCATTTTAATTTTGGAAACTTTCTATCTGGGATTATATAGAGATAGATAGAACAAGTTTTGCAATAAATGAACAACAACAAAAAAACTTCTGTTGAAACTGGACAAAAACATGACTGTGTCTGATAGTGATGGTTTAAACACGGATTCACAGGACAAAAATTTTTGATTCAGAGTATGTATATATAGGGACAATAATTTCCAGCAGCCGCTACTGAAGAACAGATGCATTATGTGTAGGACTAGATCGCTTAATTGGCTTTCAAGATTTCTGGAAGAAGCGAATCAAACTCTGTAAGCTTATGTAGTGCCCTTGTACTTTAATGTGAAAGCTGCCTTAATCTTATTTGATGCTTGGGATTAAGGATGTTGAGCCTCCTTGGAAAGAGAGCATTCATTTTACTTCTGTTAATAGACTCATTTTTTTGTTTTTTGAGGGAGCCTTGTGGAAGGAGAAAGGAATTACATCTTCTCTCCAACTTTTTTTTCCTCTTTCTAAAATGCCTTGCTGTTTGTTCTTCTCACTGACAGGCTTGAATAGAAAATGCGATCGCTTGCAGTTTGGAACATAAACTTTCATTAACAATAATTCTGTTTCAGTTTAGAATCTTGACATCCCGCACAAGTGCGACCCCCTTTTTAAAGCACATTAAGGTATCTGGTTCTGATGCACCCATAAATAGGTACTAGTGCAGGATCATCCAAGTAACAGCATTGGCCCCGAGCTGTTATAAACCCAGGCTACGTGAAGTGTCAGATACGGGGGTGTGAACTGTGAGTGTGTGAGCATGTGTGTGGTTGGTCTGACATCATCCACCTGTGACATTTTCTTCTGTCTGCCTCATACCCTTGACTGACACTTGGCCAGCGCTTGATAGCACATACAGAGAAAGGTGCTTTTATGCCACCTAATCCGTGCAGCAGTCCTTGTGCTAGGGCTCCGCTCTTCCTGTTCCATGTTGCGTAGAAAACCTTGCAGGCGCACAGGTGCCCCTTGCCTTCTGCCCTTTGTGGATTTTGCTACGGTGACTGCCGTTGCTTTTCGAGCCGCACTGTGAGCAGGTTTCACTTCTGCTCTCCATCCTCTGTTTTCGGGTGCCTTGAAGACGACGTTCATGCTCCGAGTACATTTCCACCTCCGCTCCACTCTCTAGCAGGTGTCCTGTTCTCACCGTCACCTGTGCAGAATGTCAGGAGCCCTCCCGGGGCCTTTCCTCTCACTGCCCACGTCTAGTCCAGCAGCTGATGTCGCCGTTAGCTCCAGAATAGGCTTAAGCGTGGCTGCCTCTTACGACCACCCTTCTCCGAGACTGTCTAACTGTGCCTCCAGAGTCTCAGGACCCCTAAGGCCCATGTGATCTGTGGCAACCCCTTGGGCAGCCATACTTCATGCTCAGGGCCTTTGCACGTCATCTTCCTCCTGCTTAGTTTTTATTTTTGGTGCTAGGATGGAATCCATGGCCTCAGTACATACTAGGCAAGTGCCTTACCCCTGAGTTCATCCCGGGTCCTGCCCTGTGTGTTTTTAAGCTGCATCTTACACACCTTCTTCCTTCAGTTACTCTTTTGGCTGCTGTCTGCCTAGAGGACACCTGAGTAGAAAAGCCGTCCCTGGCACCCTTACTCTGCCTTTTTTTTTGTTGTAGTCTTGCAGCTCTTTGACACCCATGAGCTTTTGTTACAAGGCAGCAGCATTGCTGTGTTCTTACCCTGTCCTCATTTCTTGGAACGGTGCGGGCTCCCATGCCACACACCAGAGCAGGGAGATTGTGAGTCGAGCCCAGACCGAACAATTTGGTGCGGCCACGTCTGAGAAAACAACAAGCAAACAAACCCTGGGGACCCAGCTCACTGGGAAGGCCGTGGGTTCAGTCCTCGGTATTTTCAAACAAAAACAAAACAAGCAAAACCTGCCGCTACCTGTTAGAAAGAAACTACTTCACAGGAATGTGTAGAGAGAGCAAATCTGAAGGTGTCTATCACTGTGGCAAATTCATCAATCCCAAAGATAATTAAACTCCAGACCGGAAATGTGAAGAGACCCCAGAGACGAATAATTGTGGTTTCATTTGAGTCACATGCACTTTTCTGTCTTGCTCTGTTGGCAGACATGCACACCTCTGCCTCACGCGGCCTTGAGGAGGTGTCCTGGAGGAGAAGGTTGATCTGGATAGTCATTACTTTCTGCCAGTTGGCAAAGATCAGTGAATCTTGAATGGGTTGACTTGAGGTACTGCAGAGAGCAATAGACATTGCTGAGGACAGCACTGAACAAAGGCATGGAAATATAATTTATAATTTCCTCTTGTTTCAAATGGAAATAGCAGCACAAAACTAGTACACACCACGCTGGCTCTTCTTATAATCCTGTTAGGACCTGCTGCTTTGTTTATTGGGCTTAATGCCTTCCACCATTCCCATCCCTGAATTCTACTTGTTATTTGTACTTTTCCATATTTGGAGAATTCTATTTGTTTCTGGAGGTTTTTTTTAAAATTTTAAATATTTTTAAAAATGAAGTTTATTTTCTTTCTTGAGATACCAAGTGATAATATTTCAATATAAGTATTACTAGAGAAGTAAATTCTTTAACTCTGTGCAACACTCTTACACATATTTATTAGTCTTACAGCAGAACTTTCCAAAAATTAGATAATCATCCAGAGGCAGTTGTATGTTTGGGTAATAAAAACGAGTGACTTTTTCTCAGCGTAGTGTATTAGTGCATTTGCATTGCTGTGACAAAATATCCAGGGCTGGACATGTTATAAAGAAATGGTTTATTTAACTCAGTAGTTCTGAGGTCCAACAACATGGTGCTTGGCTTTGGTGAGGGCCTCAAGTCTGTGCCTTCCCATGATAGGAAAGTGACATTCAGAGGGACAGCAAGGCTTACAACAACCTAGTCTCCCAGGTAAGAACCCAGACCTTCTGGGAGTGTTACCCCGTCTCATTACCTTTCTGAAGGCTTCACCTCTTAAAGACCCAGTCCTGGCACAGAGGCCAAGCTCCTGGTGATGGGTCTGTGCGGGACACACAGCCAAGGGCAAACCACATCATGTGGTGGAAGGATAGCGTTCACCTCCCAGGCTCAGCTAGGCTGGAGGAAGTCCTTCTACACAGCTCGGACATCTGTGGGCTTGGGAAAGTCACGGGCCGTCTGTGACCCGGATGGCTGACTTCGTGAATCAGTGGCCCAGCAAACTGGGTGCTCAGAACCCTCTGGGGTGGTGAAGAGGTTGCCTGGCACCATGAGGGCAGGAAGCCCAGTAGAAGGAACAACCAGGAGACTCGGCTATGAGACAGTCAGTGTGGTGAGTTTGACCTGGGTATGAAATTTTAAGGGCTTTCCCAGTAATAATCGCACAAAGAATCTACTCTTCTTGTCTCATGTCTTCATTTTATTCATTACTCAACCAAATTACAGTGTTTTTGCTGGGCATTCTCTGCTTTAACTGCTAGTGGCTGAGTACTCAAACTCTGGTTGTCTGAGGCACAAAACAATCGTAGTTTTGAGGTAGAAATTCAGGGTTAGTAACACTGCATTTAACTTAAAGCATTTGTTGAAACAGTTTTTAATTAGATACTAGAACAATATTTTCAAAAACCTAGCAAGGAATTGATGTAAGATATATATGTATTTACGAATTAGTTTTTAATTATTGTGATGTTTGTTTAGTCACTATTTAAAGCTACTAATGGATTTAATCATTCACATTGTACGACTACCATCACCCTCTATCTGCAGAACTTGAAAAAATCTTCCTGAACCAAACCTCTGAACCTATAAACAGTAACTCCCAACCCACTCAGCAACCCACTGTGAATTTGAAATTTTAGATACTTGAAATCATATAATATTTGTCTTTTGAACATCTCATGTTTCCTAGCACGAAATACCCCGTGTCCGTGCACACTGTGGCCCGTGTCAGGATGGGCTTCCTCTTAAGGACCGGGTGCCGCTCCCCTGTGTGTGCGCCCATCCCCTTCTGTAACCAGAGATGGGGCTGCCCGTCACGTGGTAATTCTGTTTGCAGCGGCTGCCCTGAGGTCCGCACCGTTTCACACTCCCACCTGTAATAAGGAGCACGACTCGGCGCGCTGGGTGCCCTCACCTCGTGGCCAGCGCTTCCTTTCCTTTCCTTTCCCTCCCCACGTGCGCACACGCATTTGCTGGCGGCACCGCCTTGCCCTTCCCTCTCGACTAGGTGTGCCTCCCCTCGGGTGCTCGTTGGCCGTTTGTCTGTCTTTTCTGCAGAAATGCCTGGTTAAGTAGATTTTAAAAAGTAAGGTTACCCAGGCCCGGGAAGAGTGCATCCTGCCTCCTCGGGCTGTTTCCTCACTGTGCCCCCCGGAGCCATGCTCCCCCGGCCCTTTCCTTCAGGCCGGCCAAGCTGGCCCTGCCCCGATGTGAGGGTCCCTGGCCACCTGGGGCCCTGCCCCACCGAGGGTGCCTGGCAGCCGCCGCCCCTCGCCCGATGCCCAGAGACCTTCCGGCCTGCGGCCCCAGGGTGCCTGACCCGCGCTGTTTCACCACAGGCAGATCTCCAGCTGGAGCAAAACCGGCAGCACTTTTACGAACTGTCCCTTGAGTATGTCTGTAAGCTTCAGGAAATCCAAGAAAGGAAGAAGTTCGAGTTTGTGGAACCCGTGAGTATTCCAGCCACTCGCTTGGGCAGCTCGGTAGCCAGGCTGGCGGTATAGACGCGGAAGAAGCGGCAGGGACCGCCTGGGGTGCCTTTCCTGCCACCCCTCTGTGGCACTTTAAAAAAAAGAAAGGAACTTTAAAAATAACACAGTATTACAGAACAGTGAAACAGAGTTGGTGAAACCAAAGAGGGGGCAATGTTCTTGATGTCAAGATATTCTTAACCAAAACCCAGTTAATTCTGCTAAGTTTAACCCAAGAGTTGACTTTTCTTTCGGAGACAGGGTCTCATGTAGTCCAGGCTGGCTTTGAACTCCCCATGTAGCCTGGACTGGCCTTGAACTCAAAGTGATCCTCCTGCCTCAGCCTCTGGACTGCTGGGATTTATAGGCACGCACCACCACACCCCAGTCAAAAGTTGACTCTGTAAAATGCCAATGTCAAGTCTCTTTTGGTAGTCTTTAAAACATACACCCCACCCAGACACGATATTAAAAGGTGACTGAAAGTAGACATCCTGGGGGGGCACCTTTAGTCTGGTGTCTTCAAGCTTTGGTTTCCTTAAATAGTAATTCTTAGCGTGATTTCTAAAATAACTCATAGTGCTGTGGTGATCTAAGTGGAAAATCTCTGTGTGCGACATTTGAAGCTGTTATGTGAGTGATGCTAGCAATTCTTTATTTTAGAAATACATGATTGTCGGTTTGATTATGTACATGTATTATATACATACAAAAATGTATTTTGTGAACCAAGCAGGCATTTCACACTGAATTTTAGCCAAAAAAAAAAAGAAAAATTGGAAGCTATGATTAACTGCAACAGACTTTTTAGTGTTATTTTTCTTAAACAGCTTTATTGAGCAGTAATTAAAGTCCCCTACAGCGTGCTCATTATGTGTGTGATTTCGAGAAAGAAAATTGCCGTCGTGATTAATTAAAAATCAGCCAGATGAAGTAATAAAATTAACCTAAATTAAAGCGTCATAGGACAACTGAACCTCCATGAAAGTCTTCTTTCATGTGAAATAAATAGTGTGCACTACGTTTATTGGCCCTTCAGTGTTCTGACCTGGTCCGAGTAGTTCTGAGTACAGCGCTGTACCTGTTCGTTATTCCGCGCTGTGACTCAGTGGGATCTTCTTATCTCCCTTGGTGAATCGGAAGCAAGCGGAGCGAGGGTCAGTGATCTGCCTCAGGTCCCGCAACAAGTGGTCGCGGAGGCTGCTAAGGAACGGGCTGGCCCTGGAGGGTAGGGCCTCAGATTCCCAGATGGCGGGCAGCAGGGTTAGGAGCTCCCGAGCTGGACGGACATGACTGCCTCACTTTAGACGACGCACTCACTCGGCACACAGGTCTGTGCAATAATTACGAGGGCCAGACTGGGAGCAGGAAGAGAAATGAGAGTTTAATTGCCATCTTGCCTCTGCCCCGGGAAGAGCTGCTGACCTCTTATCAGCCAAACAGGTGGCAGTGCCAGCACCTCGATTCTTCTGTGATTTTATTTTCTTGCAGATTGACCTGTGTCATCAAGGTTTAGATTAGTAATGAATATTGGGGTTCTCTGGACTGATGTGGGCAAATGAATGACTTAGACTTGGGTCTTTCTGATGGAGCATGCTGTACAAATTGTCTAAAGGTGCTGATATGTGAGACAAATCTCGTTTTCTATAAGGCTACTTTAGTCCCACACTGCAGACAGATTGACTTGAATCCTAGTAACTTCCTTTATGTCGCCTCCGTGGAAGGCAGTGAGATGAGGGAGATTCTCGGAGATTGGTACGAATCTTTTTTTTTTTTTTTTTTTTTTTTTTTTTTTTTTTTCCCTTTTTTTTTTTTTTTACATTTTTTTTTTTTTTTTTTTTTTTTTTTTTTTTTTGTGCCCCTGACCTTTCCTTTGTGTTAACTACCCTCTTTCTCCTTTGTCTTAGATGCTGTCGTTTTTTCAGGGAATGTTTACATTTTATCATCAGGGCCATGAACTTGCCAAAGACTTCAATCACTACAAAATGGAACTTCAAATCAACATTCAGAATGTAAGTACATGGGAGCTTTCCGGTGTTTAAAAAAAAAAAGAAAGATATTTGAAATACGTACTTTTCATATGCTTGCTGTATGGAAAGCCTTATATTTAAAGCCAGACTGAGGCGTTGCTAATGGGAAAATGGGGCTCTGGTGCCACCCCGTGGTGAGATCTTGGTGTAACAACTGCTCTTCTGCTAAATAAAGGCTCGAGAAATTCTGCCCCCTGGCGGCACTTTCCCTGCAGTTCTAAGGAAAACAGGTAGGCCCTGAGCCAGGTTTCCCGAAAGCGCCAACAAAGTGTGCCAGTTTAGGGTTCTGGCTTTACGTCGGCTTAAATTTCTTCTCATGATTTTTACTCCTATACAGACTTAGGGCACAAGTGGAATTTATTCCCTGCATATTAGGCGCATTCACTAATGTGTTAGTGCTTTTGATCTTCGTGGTTTTCTTTTGGAAAAGGCATGTTTCCTGTCGGGTTTTGCTAAAGGCATTTAGAGAAATTTGTATGATGATAATACAACCCAGTTTTTAAAGAGAAATGGGCAAATGTCAGTTTTCTGTATCTTTCTGCACATTCTGAAACTTAAAAGTAGTGAACCTCCCTAAATCTTCAAATATCTTATTCCAATACTCTTAGCTTGGTTTTATTCTAGTACACGCTGTTTTTTTTTTTTTTTTTTTTTTTTTTTTTTTTTTTTTTTTTTTTGACATTGGATTGAACTCACATCCTTGCGCTTGCGAGGCAGGTGGTCGCTCCACTGAGCTAAATCACAGGCCCACAAGCTGTTCCTCCTGTCCTATTGCCCATACTGTTGGGAGCTCTTGACCTTGAGTTTTGTCTTTGTTGTTGTCCCCCGGCCCGTTTTTTCTGGGGGTGGTGGGGATTGAACCGGGGCTGGGTAGCGGAGAAGCCTGCTTTGTGTCCCAGGCTGGTCCTGAAGTGCAGCTGGCTGGCACCCCAGGGGTGTAGCTGCTCAGTTCTGCTTCTAGCTAATTCTTTTTCCATCAGAAGTCCCAGCACCTTGGACTCCACCATGTACCATCTGTCCTACCTCAGTGGTGCTGTCATTTACTTACTGCTCGGTCATTGATCTCATTTCCTGATGCCAGCTTTTAGTGTAATGAATGGAAAGAACCAGCTGTATAACACTACTATTGCCAGGGGGAAATCCTAGTTAGGTTTTTTTTTTTTTTTTTTAGTAGCGGGGATCGAACTTGGGTCCTTGTGCTTGCAAGGCAGGCACCAAACCGCTGAGCTAAATCCCCAGCTTTAGGTAATGTTATTTTTATACTGTCTGTGAAATATACCAATCTTAGAGTCAATGATCTCTATGTTTTAATGCAGTTAATAATTCAGATCAACTTTGGGGGATTTTATTATTTTAAAAAGTAACAAATAATAAAACCATTTTAAAAACAAAAACAGTAAGTTACTTAGAAGTGAAAACAACCTCTTCCCCCATCTTGTTATACTTTTTCTGTTACAAAAATGGTTATACTTTTTTTGAGGGATACAGTCTTCATCCATTTTCTATAATCTAGAGTAATGACTGAAAAGCAAGAAAGTAGCAAGATGGCTTTCAGAAAATAGAAGTTTCAGAAGAATGGAAACTGTATCAAAATTAAAGGATATTTTTAAAAAAGTAGCTCTGAACTCCTGTGATCTCTGTCCTCAGAATGTAGGGTAAGGAAAACCAGAATAGAATTCTTTCTGGAAGGAAATACCATGAGAAATTTTAAGATTTATAAGGACTCTCTTGAAGAATGGCTAAGAAGTATTTAGGCAGATGTGCAGATGTTTTCCTTAGTTGGGAGATAATGATTTTCTCCTTTGCCTTCTTAAAGGTGATGTTGCCTACCGTTGGTTACCGTAGGGTGGTTGTTGCTGTTATTTTGGACCATACCCACTTAGGCTTCATAAAAGTTCTGTGATTCCGATTTTCCCCGTACTCCTCTTTTGAGAGGAAATGTCCTTTCTGTCTTTAAAGTTTTATTTTTATCGGTACATGCGTACTACTTAATGCTGATACTCCTCCGCAGGGAGTTGGTGTAGGTACACAACACCTCTAATTCTTTTTTCAAGCTCTTTTTCTTAGTCCCCTTTGCATTTGCAAAAGCTCTGCCTCCCTAATTCCTATTACCCATCCTTTTATTTTGCTCTTTGAATTATTTATATTTCGGCTTTCTCATATAAGCCGAATCACGTGATATTTAAGCTCGCCTGGTTTATTTCACTTAGCGTCATGGTCTCAAGGTGTATCTGTCTTCCTACAAATGGCTCAGATGTGTCCTCCTTTGTGGCAGAGGTACTACTCCATCGTGTATAAACACCACGTTTTCTTTATCCATTCATCCGTTGATGGGCATATAGGCCACTCCCAAGATTTAACTGTCACAAACTGTGCTGCTATAAACGTGAGTGTTTTTACATCACTGTGGCGTGAGGTCTTTAACTCTTTTGGGAAGATACCTAGAAAGGGAACAGCTGAGTGAAATGAAATTTGTTTTTGGGTTTTGAGGACTCTCTGTCCTGATTTCTGCAGTGGTTGTATTGGTTTACAGTCTCACCAGCAGTGTAGAGCTCTCCACCCACAGCAGTTGTTAATTCAGTTCTTGATGATGGCCTTTCTTGTCGGAGTACGTGGAATCTCAGTGTTCTAATTTGTATGAAAAGTCCTTTCTCAAGTTTGACTTCACTAAGGGCAGGGCCAGCCCTGAAACATGGGCAGACTTGCCCCAGGGGCCAAGGAGGTTAGTTTAGATTCATGTTTAGAGTTGGGTTAGAGAAGGGTCTCATGTGCTGCTCCTGGGATCCGTGAATTCAGGGTGGGGGGAACATCCTGATAGGGCTCTCTGGTTTCCTGCACAGTAACAACTTGTAGGTCGGGCGGAAGGTCCCCTTAACTGCAAGAATTCTGACTTAGCCGTGGATGGGAGATCTCAGCTCACTTTTTCCTCTCACTGGTGGTACCTTGTCTGTTCCCTGTCTGGTAGAAGGTATCTTAAGGGTGTTAACACCTTGGTCAGCTATTTCCCATTGCCTGGGTTCTGCCAGTCACTGCTTCTTGTTCTGTCACCTCTCTACATACAGCCTTTCAGGGGATGCAGTGGGGTTTGGGTGAGGGTAATTTCCCAAGACATTCTTCCTGATTTTATTACACCTTTGCCCCATGGATGGTTAGTAAGTTAGTAAGTTAGTGAGTGGTTAGTAAACCATGGGGCTGGGGGTGAGAAAACGTGATTAAAAATGGCGGTCTGTTCTTGGGAGTCCCTCTTTGCCTGGACCTTCAGAGCTGTATTTCTGGCTAGAATTGTGGCACAGACAGCTGCTTTTCCCTTTCCGTACCCGCTCAGCACTGTGACTCACCCTGGCACTCTAGCCTGCTCAAGTGTCTGCAGTCCTGCCTGGTCCCGAGTCTGGGAGAAGGAATCCTCCTCTCCCAGATGCGAGTTATAATGAAAGGGCTGATTTACAAAGCTTAATAACTGAGTTAAGTCTGGTCCACTTGGAAGTATTTGCTGAATCACAAAGGAGAAGAAGGAAATCAAGGCGCGGGTGGTGTCTTACTGGTGTAGAATATTTCCAGATAGAGGTCTAGCTCATAGGTTAGTGTGAGGTTTGAAGCACTGTGAACTCTTTTCAGTAGTGGGAGTCTCTGTGTTTTTTAAAAAATTGTTTCATTTTTGTTGTGCTGGTGATAGATCCCAGGGCCTCATGCATGTTAAGCAAGTGCTTTGCCCCTGAGGTTCCCCCCTAGACTCGAGTCTCAACAAGTGCTTACGTGTAACCCATTATAACATGCACATCTAACTGTGATTATAATGGAGAGAACATTTTCATATGTACTTGAAATTTAGGATCCGAAATTGCTGGTTCTGTCTAGTGTATTTGTGTTCACATTAAAAAAATTTTTAAATTCCCACTCCGGTTGAATAATCATTCCCCCAAACAAGGCAAATCTGTAAAAGAGTGAAACCTTCCCCCCAGCAGAGACCTGAGCCCCCAGGAAGTAGAGTGGAGAGGCAGAGGGGACCCTCTGTGGGGGCTGGGGTGGGGGTCCAGAGGGAGGAGCAAGCTGGAGTGTGTGGGAGGTTGGTTACACTGTACAGGTAAGTTAGTGAGGAAATAAGCAGGTACATGTGTGAGAGGAAATTTACCCCTCTGGAAAGGGACAGGCCAGAGAATCGGAAATTGTGCAAAGGTTAGGGTTATGGGGGTGAACTCACAGATTTTCACTTACATCGTGTGGAAATTGGGGTGTCCGCTCGCATGTGTACGTATGCACATGTATTTTCTCAGTTGGTCTCCAGAAAAGAAGGATTTCCAGTCCGTTAGCTGTGAGCACAGGGCCCAGGTCTTGATTTCTCAGTGCTGCCCCACACCTCACCCCGCTGGAGGACCAAGGGTTCCTTCGGAGAAGTGGTTGGTTCTAGTGCTGGGGTGGGGAAAGAACATAAACTCAAGTGCCTTATTGCACTAGGGGTAAGTAGTTGCTCAGGGAATCAGGACGGGTCAAGAGAAAAGCCAGCCTGGAGGGGCCCTGGCCAGACAGATTGAAACACATTTTTTTCTGTGGTAACAGAAATCATGCGCGCGTTGGACAGAAACTCTTGGGGTTAAATAAATGTAGAGGTGAGGCGAGGGTTGGAATTGCAGCAGGAAGACAAAAGAAGGGAACAAAATTAGAGTGCTGTCAGTGTAGAGAAAGGGATAGAAACCCTGAAGAAATGAGAGACAGGAAAAGAAAGAAACACACCACACAAGCGTTGGGTTTCCATAAAGGACACACACAGATTATAGATACTTTTTCAGTTCTTAGTTTGCATTGGAAACCTCTGCACATAGGTTTCCGCTTTTCCAATCTGTAGCTATCCCGACTCGCCATCCCCCTAGGAGAAAGTACTCTTCCACCCTTTTTCTACTCGTAAGACCCTTGGCAGCCCTGTGCATCGTAGGGAGGAAAGAGGAGACATCTCAATGATGATTGTCCCCCTCAGCTTCGCCCCAGTTTCACACCAGCAGTTTTTCCGGCTTACTGCAATTACTGTGCAATCTGGGTAAGACAAATGTCCAGAAACGCGGGAATCACAGTTGCTGTGGTAATTTTGTCATCTCTCCTTGCGCATAAGGTTCCCTGGTAGCCGCTTGACAGATATTGGCAGACCCGGTCTCCTGGGTTTAAGAAATGTGATTTGTCTCTCCAGATAGCAACAGTGTTATTTGTAGGAGAGATGGCTTTTTCTCCCTTACTTCTCAGGGAAGAATTACCAAAAAGGGGCTCATGTTCATTAGTTTGCCACCCCCCCCCACCCCAAATCAGACCTTGACTGGTTAGACGGTGACAACCTTGGTTGAAAAAATTTTCTAAGTTGGAAATTTTATGACCAATTTTTTTAAAATCTAAGATTTAACAATAGCATAAGACACAAAGGTGGGAAGTTTTCTGCTGAGTAGAATTATTCTTTGCATTAGAAAATTTCAAAAATTCAGAACCTCTGGATACAGTGGCTCTTGCTCTCCTATTAACTATTTCACTGTCCTTCTTTGATTTGAACAAAGTATCGGGATGTTCTGGCAGACATGTAAAAAACACCCTACACATTTAATTAGTTACCGGAGACATGTCCATGAAGAGATTCACGAGAATGTGAAATGGATTTGTGTTTTTTGCTCGTTTCAGACACGGAATCGGTTTGAAGGAACAAGGTCAGAAGTGGAAGAACTTATGAATAAAATCAGGCAGAACCCCAAGGACCACCAACGAGCAAGTCAGTTCACAGCGGAAGGCTACCTGTACGTCCAGGAAAAAAGTAAGGGGCCCGCAGATGCTGCTGGACGGCTGGCCGCAGACCCGCCTGGTATCAGTGCTCATTCCTTGCACGTTCAGTGTCTGTGGTTTCCACCGATTGAAAATGTTTGAGCCAGAAACAAAAAGCACACATCACTGCGTCGGCACGGGATGTGCACAGGCTTTTTCTGTTTTTTCTTTTTCTTTTTCTTCTAAACCATATGCTAGAATTATTCCCATAGCATTTATATTGCATTAGGTATTTTAAGTAATGCAGAGATTATTTAAACTATCCAGGAGGAGATCCATATAGATAGATGGATGGATGGATGGATGGATAGATGGATGGATGGATGGATGGATGGATGGATGGATGGATGGATGGCTAGATGGATGGCTAGATGGATGGATAGATGGATGGATAGATGGATAGATGGATGGATAGATGGATGGATAGATGGATGGATGGATAGATGGATGGATGGATGGATAGATGGATGGATGGATAGATGGATGGATGGATGGATAGATGGATGGATGGATGGCTAGATGGATAGATGGCTGGATAGATGGATGGATGGATGGATAGATGGATGGATGGATAGATGGATGGATGGATGGATGGATGGCTAGATGGATGGCTAGATGGATGGATAGATGGATAGATGGATGGATGGATAGATGGATAGATGGATGGATAGATGGATAGATGGATGGATAGATGGATGGATGGATAGATGGATGGATGGATGGATAGATAGATGGATGGATGGATAGATGGATGGATGGATAGATGGATGGATGGATAGATGGATGGATAGATGGATGGATAGATGGCTGGATAGATGGATAGATGGCTGGATAGATGGATAGATGGATGGATAGATGGATGGATAGATGGATGGATAGATGAATGGATGGATAGATGGCTGGATAGATGGATAGATGGATGGATAGATGGATGGATGGATAGATGGATAGATGGATGGATGGCTAAATGGATGGATGGATAGATGGATGGATGGATGGATAGAAGGATGGATGGATGGATAGATGGATGGATGGATGGATAGATAGATGGATGGATGGATAGATGGATGGATGGATGAAGGATGGATGGATGGATAGATGGATAGATAGATGGATGGATGGATAGATGGATGGATGGATAGATGGATGGATGGATGAATGGATGGATAGAAGGATGGATGGATAGATGGATGGATAGATGGATGAATGGATGGATGGATGGATAGATAGATGGATGGATGGATGGATGGATAGACGGATGGATGGATGGATGGATGGATAGATGGATGGATGGATGGATAGATGGATGGATGGATGGATGGATGCATGGATAGATGGATGGATGGATAGATGGATAGATGGATGATAGATAGATGGATAGATGGATAGATAGATGGATGGATGGATAGATAGATGGATAGATAGATGGAGGTTATATGCAAATTCGCTGCCATTTCTGAGGAGCCTGGGGATCCAAGGACTTTGGTATAGGGGATGAGTCTTGGGACCTGTCCTCCAGACATAGGGTGGCTCTTTCCCTTTTTCCTTTTCCTCTTTCCCCTCCTCCCTCCTCCCCTTCCCTCTCTCTGTCTCTTTCTCTTCCTCCCCACTTTTTCCTTTTTCTTTCTCCTTCAGGGTCAAGTTGCATTGCAGCCCTTTTAACTTTTCACTGTTTTTGAGTCAAGGCCAAGCTGACCTTGAGCTTGGGGGACTGCAGCCTCCCGAGTAGCTGGGATTCCAGACGTGTGGCACCTCGCCTGGCTTTTGCTATGTGTATTGTAATTACTGGGGCATCGTCGGACATGGCCCCTCCCACACCCTTCCTCTTCCTACACAGGAAGAGATGTCCTACTCTGCAGCGGGCATTGCGGGGGGAGGGAGGGTCAGGAGTGCCCTGCCGTGCAGTGGGCCCAGGATGCTCTGCCCGGCACTGTGCCCCTTAAGAGCTTGCTCATGGCCTGCCCTGGAAGTGTGCAGAGTTGGAATGGGGTTGTCTTTTTCATATTGTCCTGATCACACTCAGTGTGTGTGCACGCACACACACACACACACACACACACACACACACACACCTTCTTCTCTCCCCAAGCCCTGGCTTGCCTTACATTAAGGTCCAGAGGGGTATATTTCTCTTTTTTTCCTTGACACCGTTTCTGTCCGCACCAATCTTGCATAGTTTGGTTCTTGCCCAAATTGGCAGGAAGATTATTTATGGCTATGAAAAATAGTCTTACATAGCTCCATAACTGAATTTCTAGACTTTTTAACATTTTTAAAGAAAAGTTTATTTGGCCTATGCTTCTGCTGGCTGGAAAGGGGCCCCCTTCATGAAGAAGAAACAGGGAAAAGGATGCATGCAGAAGGGACCTGAAGTCAGAGACCCAGCCTGGCCCTGTGTGAGGGACTCTAGTCCTTCCCAGTGGTGGTGGCCCATGACGTAGTCATTCCTCCAGGGCCCCACTGCCTAAGTGTGGGAGCAAATCCCACACATGAATCTTCGTGGTGCCCACCGTCTCCAAACCATAGGATCCTTACGTGAAACATAGAAAGCCTCAGTCTTTTGAAAGCGCTAAGGAAATGGTCTCTGTTGGACCGCTGGGCTCTCCTAGCTCAATTCTTCAACGGTAGAAGCCAGTCACCATTTCGTAGGGCATGACTGTGCAGGGAGTGTTTCTAACTTGCCTCTCTTCTCGTTCTTAACTGCAGTTGGAATATAGCCTTCCTTGCATTTGCAGCCCGTTTACAGAACTTTTCCACTGACCAGTTTAGTGCACAGGGCCCTTGAGGAATAGGGACTGACTGCCCCTGTGTGGCACTGAGGTGAGGTGCAGTCCACAGGATGGCTGGCCTGCTTGCTTGCTCTCATTTATCTGCAAAGTGCCGGTCTTCACTTCTCAAAAAGAGCACTTCTGTCAGTGGGGGTGAACCTATGGCCTGTGGGCTCTTTGTGTCACTAACTTACGTGATGTCAGCCTTAAAATCTTCACCATCTGAGTCTCCATTTTAAAAATTAATTTTGAAAGAAAATTCAGAACAGAGTCGTGAGAATGTTCAAATTCTTTACTTTCTCTTTTTGGAGGCACTGTGTAGTCCGGATTGGCCTCAGACTTGTTACGTATCCCTGGCTGGCTTGGAACTCAGAATCTGTTCACCTCAACCTCCCAGATGCTGGGTTTTGTACGTGGTACATCCCAGTGATTGATAGATAACTTGCTTAAGTGACTGGTTGTGCAAGATACTGGTTGTAAGCTATCCTGGGAGCGAATAACAAAAATGATAGTAGCAAACTGTCATTCACAGTAAGCCAGGCACCGTGTGACTACACTGTTCATATCCTCCTCTCACTGGATTCCTAAAATAACGCTGCGAAGTGAGAGTACTGTTCCTACCCATGTATCCGTGAGGAAAGGCAGGCACCGAGTGGTCGCGACCTTGGTTCCCTCGATCACACAGCTCCTGAATCCTTGAGCTGTGCATGTGAGCAGGAAGTCTGTGCTGCCCCCGGTCTTGTAAGCGGCCAGGTGCTTGGTCAGGTGGGCGAGAGGGCTGTGAGCCCCTGAGCTCAGAGCTGCTGGGGCTGGGTCTTGTGGAGCCCCCCTTAGGTCTAGAGACTGAGATGAAACTGGCTTTGTTATCTTGCAGGCATTTTGACTAAGTTTAAGTTTTGTTTTGTTTTTTTTTTTTCCGTACTAGAGATTGAACTCTGGCCCTTGTGTTTGTAAGGCAGGCAGCGAAACCACAGCTGAATCTCTGGCCCTAAACTTAAGATTCTTTAGTTTAAAGAAATAATAATAATATACCTACCTCTCCTTGAGGTTTTTAAAAATGAAATCAACTATCTGAACATGTTTTTGAGAACTAAAGAACACAGTACCAGCATTAGGTATTTATAACAGGAAACTCTGTTGTCCCCAAACTCAGGTCTTAAACTGAGTTTAATGATAGTCTGAGATGAAATCTGTTGTGATCTGTAACCCCTTATGTCTCTTTGTTTGCCCTCTCCTAGCACAGCCCAATTAACTCTCTCTAGAACTACATGCGTTCTTTTTGGCTTCTTTTCCCCTCCCCAGTTTGTCATTTGTGCTTTTCAGATATGGAAGGTTTATGTGACGGTATAGGAAAATTACGGCCGTAAGAAATGTTACCACTTCGTGAGAAAATGGCTTCACTTGGTGAGAGAAGATAGATTCCACCTCTGTGGAGTAACCTGTGGCTTATGATAATTAGACTTGTTTCCCTGTAGGTATGGGGAATTGAATCTTAGGGTCTTGTGCCTGCTGAGCTGTATGCTGGGCCTGATGGCTGGACTTGACGTGTGACAGTCAGGTGTCAGGCATCCCTGCCAGAGGCCAGTGTCCTCCTAGAGCTCTCTGACTGGGAAGAGTGATTTACCAAGAAGAGAGAACAGGGGTTCCGACTGTGTTCTGGTGCACACAGGGACGGCTCACCCCTATTTAAGTCTTTCATTCTTTATTCATATTTTTTCTCCCCCCACCCCGACTCTTCTCTCTGACTCTCTTTATTATTTTAACTCCTTCCCTGTCTGCCTCTGACTTTCACAGCGCGAGGTATTCAAACTGAGAACTTAGCCAAGCAGTGATCGGAGCTACACCCTTGGCCAAACATACTTCCTTTCTAAAGCTTTGCTTTCCACAGTTACCGAGGGGCTGTTAGCAGGTTTAAAGCCCTAAGTGAGTTTCTATATGAGATGCTTTTTCTCAGCACTGTGTTTCTACAATTCTGTGATTTTGCAAAGGCAGAATTGAACATCCGATCATTGCATGCATTGAGTGGAACTTCGGAAACTCTTGTGAACTCATGGTACCTAGAAGCAAACAAAAAATAGAGCTTACAGTTAGGAGGTTTTCACCCATGATATAACTGTTGGTTTTCCTAGTGCACTTTTAAAATACATGTCTTTAAGTCACTTTTGTGTTGCTGAAAATACCATAAAATCGTGTCTCAGGTGATCTTGTGGTTCATCTTATTTCCCTCCATGCCTCCTTCTGTTAGAGGCAACGTTCTGGTTGATCTGCACTTGTTACGGGGCTTCTGTGTTTGGAGCTCTGTGTGTCCACTTATTTGTGAGGAAGAATGCAAAGTTCTGTTTTTTGTTGAAGGGCCAGCTCCATTTGGCTCCAGTTGGGTGAAACACTACTGCATGTACCGGAAAGCGGCCAAGAAGTTCAACATTATCCCGTTTGAGCACAGATCTGGGGGGAAACTTGTAAGTGTTTGCTTGTACTCTCCATATCTATGTGAGAGATTCTCTGGAGTTGTCATTTTAATGGTTTATGGTCAATAATAGTAAGTTGCATTTTTTGCTTCTAAGTAGGCAAGAAAATAGAATAATTCTTTTTTTTTTTTTTTGAACGGCATGCACGGGTCTTCACAGTTTTGTTTGTTTTTTTTGAGAGAACAGTGGAAACCTTTTATGTCACTTTGTTTGGAAGGTAAAGATTCTACCTTTACTAAGCTTTTGTGGCTCCTAATAAGTATTAAATGCTTTTCCGCTAATTACGCAGGAAGTATACCTCGGGCCTTCATTGTCTGTTCACGGCTTGATCCGTAATGAATTATAGACACAGAGTTCTCAGGTAGGCGTTCTCTGTTCAGCGAACTGCTCATGAAGTAGACAGCACAGTGAAGCATCATCGTAAGAAGAGAGCACCAAGACCCCAGGCGTTGGCTGGCAGGAGAGAAAGTCTTCATGTGTGTTTGAAATAGAAGTTGTAGCTCCGAGCAGGGATGGATGCTGCAGAGATAGCTCCTCACTAATAAGGAACATTGCTACAGAAGCGCAGAATAAACACACTTCTCTGAACGTGTACCTTGCTCCTCCCTAGAAGGCAAACTGGAGTAGCGACGAAGTACTTGTGAGAGCAGGGTTGTGGAGAATGCACAGAGCCAGGAGGGCGTTCTGGAAGGCCAGGCTGACTCATGCGGGGCGCTGAGGCCCGGCTTGCTGTCACCGGGAATTCAGACTCTGAGCCGTTTCCAGGTAGTGAGGATCATTTTCTTTTACTCTCCATAGGAAAAAAGAAAAAACCCATACACACGTCAGGCTATTGCTCTGCTATTTGGTGGAGAGCTGTGCTGTCTGAATATTTGTTTTTTTTTTTTTTTTATCTACAGTTTGAGAACTCTTGATAGTCTGGGAAATATCGAAATGTTCTAGGAGTTTATCCTTAGATGTCTGAGACTTCTCCCCTGAGCACCTCTCTGCCTGAGTTGCTTGTCTCCTGTCTTCATTTCTTCTGCTCCTAAAGGAGATGGCTTAGTCTGATATCATAGTATTTATAGTAAAAGGAAATTAAATTGAGAGCAATTGATTTAGGAAAGAGGAAGAACTGTACAGATTGTGGGTTTAAATGATCATGACACCTGATCCAAAGCTCTTAGTGGACTTGCAGGTTGATCCAAACTCATATGGAACTGGAAGCTTTTTTTTTTTTTTTTTT